GCTATGTGGATTAATGTGAGGGCCAAGTTGCAACTTTGAAGAACCAAGCTAAGACTATCATTTCATGATTGGTCGAGCAAAGCCAATAAAGATTGGCCGAACTAAAGGAGACGTGCGCGAGTCCTTGCCAAGCTGTAAGATTAGACCGAGCTGTATGGCCGCATGGAATGTGACTTGACTACATATGGAAGTAGCCTGATCAAGCTAAACGTGCTTGGCTGAGTTGTGAAGACCCTGCGAGGGCTGACCGGCCAAGTTTAGCTCGGACTAAAAGAACCAATCTGGGTTAGGCTGAGCTGTGCGGGTTCGGTCACAACTAAAGATAGCTCGGTTGAGTGCCTCTCTTGGTCCAGTACCACGCGGAGGACAAACTGCGTGCTACCCAAGTTATTGTTGTTTGTCAGGTTGTCTACTTCTGACAAGTGCACGTTTGTAAGGGAATCAATGGGCAAAATGTCCTCGCCCCAAGACAATAAGAATAATGCGCACCACATGGAGAAGTGGGACAAGTTGTCTATATAAGACCTGCGAGTTCATTCTTGAGGGTAAGCAATCTTGAGCCAGAAAACTCTCTCATTCTTCTATATTTTCCGAGGGTGCTAACTAAACCGTTAGAGGAGTTTTCAGCGAGACATCCGTTGAGTATCTTACATCTATTGTGTTTGTAGGAGAAATGACATCATTTGGAGTGAGATAAATACAAAGGCAAGAAATACGGAAGTGAAGAATGTTTACTCCCCGTATAATAGTTTATCAGATCGTGACCGATATGAGCTAGTTTAGGAGTTTTAATATTGAATTAAACACTAAAAAGTAGCTTAAAAACAAAAAATTGATAGTAAGTAACATGGGATAAATACATGTGATTAGATAGTTATAAAATAAATGTCTATATTCAATTTTTATATAGTAAAATCCGCACTTGGAATAAATCTCAACCATATATTACTTTTTTAATTATTCCCCAAACTATTTGTTATTCTTTTAAGTAATACTCGCTTTTTTAAAACTCACTCAAACAATACTCTGGCTGAACTCATCATCATCCTTGTTACCACCATGCTTACCACCTCTACTAAATACTATGCAACTCTATTCTGGATGTTGATATTTGCAAACATAAAAAGACGAGGGGTGCTTGGGAACCCAAAGTTGAGGCTAAAATAGCCTCAAATATAAAAAAAAAGTCAAATAGCCTCAAATAGTACCCTAAACTAATAATTTATATTTATAAAAAAAAAAAAACAAAAACAAAAACAAAAACAAAAACCAAAGCAGCCGGCAGTGGGCAGAGGTTAGGCACAAGGTAAGGCCAGCCTAGTCCCACAGGCTGAAATGACACTTTTGCCTCTAGACCAATTTTGGAAAAAAATGTAGTTAGGGACAAATTTGTCATTTCAACCTCAAATATCATTCAAACACATTTTTCAATATAATAATTTAAATAAAAATACATTCTATCTTCCCAAATACAAAAATTAAAATAGTCAAAAAATCAAAAAGTTCCTAAAATAGCCACTTTCCAAACACTCACATTATGGGTTTGTTTTGAGAAGTGGTTAATTTAGTTGGGTTTTACGAAAAGATGGGTTTTACAAAAAGATGTATAAAAAGGTGGAGAAAATAGTTTATTTTTTGGTAGTAATTTTTTGACTTTTTAACTATTTTAGGTGCTTCCCAAAACACCTGCATTTCAATTTGTGTGTCTAAAAAAAAAAAAAGAAGGCAAAAAATAAGCATGTCGAATTAATCTTACATTTTGAACTAACGGTGGTATTACATGCACCAATTAGTGTATTTACTAGTATACCAGCACTAGTTATGACAACTCTACTCTTTATACAAATTACAAATATCTAAAATTTCTTAAATTATGCCACATCATTAATTGGTACACTAGTTAGTACACCAATTAGTACACCAATTAGTGCATATATCATTATTTTTGAACTAATGGATTGTGACATGTATAAGCCCATAAAGGCCCTGAATCACCTATGGCCTTTCACTTGAAGCCCAGTGCATAACCCAGCTGACGAGGTCCAGGACAGCCGGAGTCCAACATGGCATAAAGAGCCAATGACATTCAGACACACGGCAAGAGAAGGACGAACCACATCAGCAGACAAAGATCTGTAAAGTTATTGACACTGCACATCACCATTAATGCAGCCCATCACAGCATTTATTACGACAACACCTCTCCGCCGGAACAGGACCCCCTTACCCTGAGCAAGGTAAGCTACAGCATAGGCTTTCGGCAAGGAGAGCAGGTCGGAAGGGACAGCGAAATGATTACCAAAGGATACAAGCGAACGTTGTAGACAAGAAAAATGTTAAGCTTTTCTATCCCTAACCTCTCCCTCTACACATTACTTCTCTTCCTAACTTGCTCGTCGGAGAGTTCACTGGGGTACTACCCGTTCCCCGTTGAACTTGCCTGCAGGTTATTCGGTGGGCTTGATCATTTGGACACAGGCTTGAGGAGCTTGGACCTGCCCGATCCATTTACTGGGACGAACAGCATTAACAGTTGGCGCCGTCTGTGGGAACGCTTTGCTCCTCGTGCCAGTTGTGTTCACTGTCGCCGGAGGCCCCGTTCCAACAACCTTTCTCTCCTACCCGTCAAAGTGCATGGTCGTGACTAGATCCATGGTTTCTCACAATAATGCTGCCAACCATCAAGTCGACCCCCCCAATCCAAACAACCTACCACAGTACTTTATCGAGCTTACCAACAGCATCAATCGCATGGCCGAGCAAAACCAGGCCTTGATAAATGCTTTACTCCAAAGAAACCTTCCAATGCCTCCTCCACCACCTCCAGATATCCCCCCAACCAAGAAAGAGCCCGAGCCATACTGTTCCACAACTCCATCCACCCAACTTGAAAGGTTTGCAACCTCCCTACCCACATATAAATCCACCACCACCACCCCCACATCCGCTAGTGATATATTTTTTGATGGGATGAATTATATATTTTTTTTTTTTTTTCCAATTTTTCATTTTTTTGTTTTTATATTTGTCTAGTTGGAAATAATATAAATATATAATTTTTTTAACAAACAGGTAAAAAAATGTCACAAAAGTTAAAAAATAAACAAAAATAAAATCACAAAAAAACCTATAATCAAACAACACCTACAAACTTGGAGGAAAAGTTGGTTGAGATTTGTCAAAAATAGCAAATAACCATTGGAACACCATTGCTATAATTTGGCAAAATATCACTATTTATTGCCAAATTATAGCAATAACAATAGCAATAGCAATAATGGTTAGAGATGCTCTAACATGATTTTGTATTACGAACCAACTTGTATACAACTAGGAAATGGATGGTGGATTAAGTGGTACCTCACAAAATATTTACTAATTTTATAGAAAATTATTAATTGACTTGTGTGATGTGCGAAAATTTATTTTTAAAATAAAAATTAATTATGAATGTTTATATTTTATGTAAAAAAAAATTAATAATTGAAAGTCAAATACAAACAGATTTGTTAATGAGTGATAAAAAAATTTATCACTATGTGTGTGATCATATGTAAAAGGCTCATAAAAATAATTTCTTTCAAAATAAAAAAAAACGTGTATTCTCAACTTGAAATCAAATCTTCATTTGTGTTAATCAAATTTACCAAAAATCATGAATTCCACTTGTATCACAATATTTTTTTCCAGAAAAAATAAATAAATAAATGAAAAATTCATAATATACAAATTGTGACTTAGTTATAATCTTGTTCTCACAACTCCCAATCCTAATTTTTCCCTATAAATCATTTTTTACAATTTTTTAATACACATTTTTCCATAAAAAATCAAAAATTAACCCAAACATCCATATTTTTTTTCTCAATTTTTTAGTCCAAAAAGACAAAAAATACACTTATTTAGGACACTCCCAAACAACCCCTTATCATTAACAACTCAAACTTCTCTCTCTCTCTCTATTTGTTTTTATTTTATCAAATCAACTCAAAAATATTTGTAAAATACAAAAAGTTATCCACTTGATCCAACTTATAAGACAAATGATATGTCCTTTTGACAATAAAAAATACATTTTTTTTAAAAAAATCTAAATATTACTATTAAACATCTATGTAATATCCTAGATATTAGACAATTCTCTTATGCCCATAAACCATCATATTTTGTGTGCAATTTTATTACATTGGAAATTTTTTGAACTGTAATTATTTTTACTAGTATAAATATATATACAAAACCTTTGTTTAGCTATCTTAATTAGGATTAAAAAAATAAAAAGACAAAATAGGCTAAATGAATCAATAAGACAAAATGTCATATTCAAACCATAATCATTTCACTTTTTCTTTTACAAAAATCAAAAAACTTTGCCAAACGAAAACTCCAAAAAGCCAACTAATTTTTTTTTCTTGCCAAACAATAACAAAAAAACATCATAATATTTTAGAAAATTCTATATTTTATGACTTAATTATACATATATGGTATTAGTCATAATTTATTATGATATTAGCAATGATATTATTTTAGATATACTTTATATTATATTTTAGTATAACTTTTTTTTTTTTATAGTTACAACTTTTATATCATTATCCTAATATCTTTTTATGAAAATAATTTATTCCTACAAAAAAAAAAAAAAGTATTTTTTTATAAACTCTGACGGATAAAAATATAACAATATAGAAAAAAAAATCTCACTTGGCTTTATATTGTATTTTTTTATCAGCAATGGTTGAGGGTCATAATTTTTGTGGCTCAAATGATTTGAAATTGTCAAAACGACGTCGTTTTGAGTACAAAACAATTTCGAAATTATCAAAACGACGTCGTTTTAGTAATTTCAAAACATTTGAACCACAAAAATAATGTCCCTCAAACATTTTTCTTCTTTTTATAAGTGCATATAGACTCTTATCAATCAAAATTTATAAAAAAAAATGTTTTTATAAGAAATTTTTGTAGAAATTTTTGTGATCCATATTTGTCCACCGCGTCTCTCTCTCCTCTTTCACTCATTTTCTCTCTCTACATCTATATATCGCATCTCCGAATTTCGAGAGAGAAAAAGAAATAGAAAATCTTTGAATCAAAATCTATTCAACCAAACACTAACTCGAATTCCACCACAACCAATTTTCTCAAAACCCTAATCGCCTCGGATCATGTAATTAATCCGAATTCGAATCTGGGTTTTGGTGGATTCGACTTGGAGACCCGAGAGAGCGAGAGGGATCATGACTCGGCGGCGTTCGTATTGCAGCCACAATGGCCACAACTCTCGGACCTGCCCGAACCGTGGAGTCAAGCTATTCGGAGTCCGGTTGACTGATGGATCGATCCGGAAGAGTGCCAGTATGGGTAACTTGACCCATTACACCGGATCCAGTAGCGGTAACCTTCAAAATGGCCTCGCCGGAAAAAACCATGACTCTCCCGGAGACACGCCAGACCACGGCGGCGCCGCCGGAGATGGGTATGCGTTGGAGGATTTTGTTCCCGGGTCGTCGTCCAGTCGGGAAAGAAAGAAAGGTTCGAACTTTGTTTGGTTAATTTATGGGTTCAGTGGTTTTAATTTTGAAGTTCTGCATCTACAAAGTTTTATTTTGTTTATCTTTGTTTGGTGATAATTGTGAAGAATCGAATTCGAAATTGAATGAATGAGTCAATACTATTTATTTTTTAGTTGTTTACTAAGAATGAAGGGTTTAAGCACAGAAATGATGAGTTTATTTGATTTGGGTTGATGGTTTTCTATGTGGATTTGAGTGATTGATGAGATATAATAAAAATTATGAAAAAGAACTCATATTTGGTTTACAAATTGAATAAGAAATTATGAGAAATGGAAATAAAGAGAATTTGCTTGTTCAAGCATGATGATTTGTGAGAAAATACCGTCATTTCTTATCTCTTTTTTGTCAGATAATGTCTCAATGGGACCACATAATTAAATGTGATCTTATCATTTATAAGAAGTCTACAATTTAAGTGATTCAATTTAGTTAATAGGCTTAAGGGTATATGTGTTATGGACCTAATGTGTAGATACTAGTTGTATAATTTCTATTTCTATGAGGGGCAGAAATAGAAATTAAAACATATTGATTAAAGTTGGTTTTCATTCCTTTTGAACTTCCACAACCTTTCAGTTTTGAAAACCAATAAATAGAAATTAAAACCAATAATGGTTAAAATTG